CAATTCTAATGTTGAAATTGTATGATATCTACTACCAATTTGGAGAGTTGAGTTTATAGTAGGGCAGTGATATAATTATCGTTGTTAAAATATGACGAGAGATGGAGTGTATGAGGACAAAATTGTTATCGAATTTTAATACGATGTTTTTTTAGTGAACTAGGTTAAAGAGCTTTATGTCAAAAGGAAAGCTCGAATAACGAACTATTCTATGTATTGATAATGTAAACTTTGGGCGTAAATTGATGTTGTGGCTTTTCCTTTAAACTCTTTTTAATTCAAGATGCTTCATACCGATGGTGTCATTTCTTTAGAAGGGAGAATATAACAGAGCACTATTACAAACTAACATTATTTATGAGACTCTCAGTGCTTTCCACTTTTTAATACACATTCGAGAATTTCATCCATATAATACTTGAGTATTGGAACTCACCACTTAATTTATTCAGCTTCCAAAGATTCCAACCACATGGGTTATATTTGAGGCCTAGATTGAGTACAAGTACAAGATTGTTTTTATATCTTTACATTGTATGAGTATATATCTATTTAAATAATAATAATAATAATAACAACAACAACAAAAAAAAATAGGATGGTGACAGAGACAGAATATATTCTCCATCCCCGTCTCTATTTTGGTCATGAAAAAAAAANGTCATGAAAAAAAAAAAGAAAAAAAAAAGCAACACCCTTGTGGCGAGATTAAACACATACAAAAATAACCAAGTAATCTTAGAAATAAAAATACCTCAAATTCGTGATGCAGGGACTTTTCTTAATTTTTTTTAGATAGTTAGACATTAAATTTTATTAAACTATACTCATGTTAGCAAGTAAAATTAAATTAAATATCGATATTTGTGAATTTGGGTTAGAGCGTAAAACTTAAATAAAAAATATATTGAAGGTTATTTCATGAGATGTTATTTTACTTAAGCTGTGGACTCCTAAAGTCATTATTTGGGTTGAACAATACTCTGACTAGCATTGAATTTATACTTACTTCAAAATAAAGTGGTACCACAAGGCCTAAAAGTTCTTGTCGATGTGTGTCATCCCAAGAGACTTGAAGTATATAAATTAAGGAATTGAATTCGGATTCAAATAGTCTCCAAGAACTCTATGGATATATAATGCTCGAGGCCAACTCTAAGAGAAACTTGAGAATAAAATTCTCTAAAATTTCTCCTTTCCCTTGTGAAGAAGTTCATGTGGTTGAGATGTGAAAAGAAGATTTCGTTGAGGTCCTTTTTTGTGAGAAAAATTAAGGGTTTGTTAGTCCTTTCCAGTTTTTCGCTTATAATTTTATTAAGAAATCTAAATATTTGCCAAACTAGTTATATTTCTTGTTTATCATTTTTTAGAAATAATTTCAAAATTGTATAAAAATTTTAGAAATAACCAAAGGACCTATTTGATAATGTTCTCATTTCATCTTTCTAGTTTTCAATCTTATTAAGAAATTTAAGTCTTTGACAACTAYTTTATGTGTTTCTCATATTTTAGAAATATTTTCATAATTGTATAGAATTTTTTGGAAACTTTTTCTCGATTCTGACTTGTTCCAACATATATAAATATTTTTTTTTATCATGATTGAATTTATGGATGTTGAGGGCTGTGCAATTCTATTTTTTTAAAATAGAAATAATAAAAGGGGGCGTTATTAAACGGGTCCAAAGTTTATAGTTCTTTTTTTTCGTTTTCAATTTGTTCCAACATAAATAAAGATTTTATTTTATAATTATTGAATTCATGGTATTAGAAGTCGTGCAAGGGAAAAAAAACATGAGGTTACCAAATGACATTGTTTAAGTTTACATAACCTAATTTCAAATTAAATAAATTTCAACTCAATATTGTAGTTAATTATTAAATTGTATAAAAATCCAAATGCCGTCCATTTAGTTCTTAGCATTATTAGTCTTAGTCAGTGTTCAAAATGTCGATGTCGATGAAAATATCGAGGTCCCGATTTTACAGACATGTCGATGGATATTTCGGGAAAAATAATGGAAATTGTGGAAATTGATGAAATTTTTTTGAATGAGAAAAAAAACTTGAATGGTAGCTTAATTAGCTTATAATTGATCACATTTAACCATTAAATGTAAAAATATGACCATTTTACTTATGAAAATGTCGATGTTGATGGAAATATCGAAAAAAGATTTTTTCCTGAAGATTGATGAAAATTATTTGGATATGTAAAGTAAACTTCAATTGTAAACTTTTGACTACTTGAACACATTTCTAAGTTCTAATTAATTCTAAATTTTAATTAACTTTACCTACTTCTCTTTTCAAATATGAATTTACACATTTTTCAAACACATTTTCAAATCAATCATCAATCCAACTTTCCAATCAAATTTACACAATTTTCAAACACCTTACCTCATGATTGTGTAATTCTTCCAAATTATCTACCAATGGGATCTATATGTGCTTCATATTCTACCCATGTGAGTAACTCCCTTCAAAACTTTCCGTCTATGAAGACTTGGGAGGACTATTGTAATTTATATTAAAGTTATCAAAATAGTGCACTAGATCCTCCGAGATCATCTTTTTTGTATTAATTAAGTTACATATTCTACTTCATGTTTCACAACTATTTGTATATAATGATCTTTTATTTTTTAAAAATTCTAAGATTATTTCAATATTTATATATGTCAATATTTCACATATATTGTTCAATTGTGTAACTAAGGACTAGATTGGATTAGAAATTATCAATAAAGCAAATTCTAAATCTTATTAGTTATACTTTACACAGTATTAAAATGCAAATGTTTCATTGAACGATTACAATCATTGAGGTTGTGAAAAATTATAGACGGTAGTGGCATAGTAGGAAGATGATGAAAATAAAATAACATTAACCGAAGAAGAGAAAAAAAGAAAACATATCGACATTCGACATTTTATCGATATTTTGTCAACATGTCGATATGTCAATGACATGAGAAAAAATCGATCTTTCTCCCTATGTCTATATCGAACATGTCGGCATTTCGACATGTCGTCATGTCTCTTGACATTTTCAATCCTGGTTTTAACTAAAGAGATAAGAATGGCCAACTTAGGTAAAAGACCACTCTAAATTGTATTAAAAACGATAAGTGAATACGTAAGTTTCAAGAAACATATTCAACATCGAGACTATAGTAATCTGTATACTTGAAAATAGATGAATTACGGTATAAATAAAATTATTGAGGAAATAATGGTTGAATAATTTTATTTAATTAAACCAACCCAATAATCCGAATCGAAATACGTAAATATTGGTTATTTAAAATTTAAAATTGGTACTTATCCTCAATTATGACGTCAAAGAAATTGAAAAATTGGTAACTATTTTGATGCACGTGGCACCCATGCGTGCTGATCCCTACATTTTTCTAGAAATTTTATTTATAAATATAAATATTAAAATACATAGCATACAATTTTCAAATCCCGAGGTCAGTGGTCTGTCGTTTTGAGCTCCCTACTTACTTGCATTCATCCCCATAAAAATATCAATGTCAAAGTTTTTCTTTTCTTACTTCTCGGGGAAGGGAATCTTCATCTTCTTCAAAATCTCAAAAATATTTCGAAAAGTAGAAATTAAAACTTTAAAAAATATATAAGAAAACAAAATCATATTAGCACTTGAAAATTGAATGATAAGTTGCAACTTACGCACTATCTTAAAAAGAGGGTGAAAATCATTGTGATTTTTTTTTTTTGAAAGCCACCCTCCATTTTGTCGATGGAGGCCAGCCCAGGGCCTGGCTTGGCTTTCGCCACACAAATTACAGAAATTGAAAATAGGCATAAATTAATCAAAATCATAAAAAGGGTGAACGATATTAACGCAACCATTGCATTGGATGTGGTCCAGTAATTATTTCATATTTGGATTTGGCCAAAAAATTATGCCCCACTTCTCAAAAATCAACTCTCATTTGAGATCTCCAAAATTATCTCCCAAACATGATTTCACGTTTTGTATTTTATTTCCATATTACTATTATTCCGTCTCCGCATAATGTCTAAACCATTTAAATTTAAATACATTATTTGAATCTTTTTTCAATTTAATTGCGTTTTYATTGTATATGTATTTTGTTAAAAAAGAAAAAAAAACAATTTTTAGCAATAATTCAGAATTCAAATAAAAGCATTGCTTCACATCAATCTCAAAATTTGTTCTGTATTATTAGAAAAGTATGCATTTCCGGTTGGAAATCATTTTGGATTTTGCTTTTATAATGTAAAAAGTAAAATTCCCCTAATAAACCATTATTTAAGTTGTTGCAAAATATCCCTCGGCATGCCTTTGATAATGATACCTTGAAGAAAAACGGAAAAAAAAAAGAGCAAAAAACAACAAAAAAAAATACATTTTTTGGCGAGGATGGTACCGAGTCTGCAGACTTAATTTTTGTTTGATGCCACTGGTTTTTCTTGTTGTAATGCCAATCGCGAGCCCGAAATTCAACTTTCTTTTTAGTTTTCTGTTCAATCCCTCACAAAATTTCTTGTCTTCTTCCTCTAAACTCTGACTTTTTGACCTTTGAGGCAGCCCCATCATCAATTTCAATTCATCCTCTTGACTCGCAAGGAAAGAGAAACTTTGTTGTTTCTATCTAAATTAAAATTGAACTCTTTTCCCTATCTTTCTTTATTCAAAATGTTTCCATCTGTATGTTCTGATGAGGGACAAAAAGGGCAGGTCATTTGACAAAGTCACGTTATCGTAAGCCAATCTATGGTTTTAGCATTACGTATACGTTTGAAATGCTGGCCTGTTTTAATTAATTCGTCAAAAAAACCGAATTGTTTTAGAAAATTAAACCGAAATGTAAAATTTTAAAATCATAGAGATGAAAATGAAATCTTTCTAGAATCATGACTAAATTTGAAATTGAAGTTAAATTGTAATTATAAAATGTCAAATCAAAATCAATTATTTGGGAATTGAATTCTGTTTCCACCTTGGTTGATTAATGTCTTCTGTGGCCCCACATTCTCCTAGTCTCGTGCCTTGAATTCACCCTCTCGCTTTAAACGCATCGCCAGAGCCTCAGCGGCGAAGCACAAGAAACATAACATGGACAAGGAACAGCAACGGGACGCCGCCATGAAAAGGGCTCTTCTTATTTTCAACTGCGTTTTGTTAGCCATCGGCAACTGCGGCGGTCCGTTGGTTATGCGTCTGTATTTCGTCCACGGCGGAAAGCGCGTGTGGCTCTCGAGCTGGCTAGAAACCGGCGGCTGGCCCATTATTTTCATCCCTTTGGCCATCAGTTACTTCCACCGCCGCCGGGCCGCGGCCGGAGAATCAACCACGCTCATCTTCATGAAACCACGCCTGTTTCTGGCCGCCACCGTGATCGGCGTCATCACCGGCTTCGACGACTACCTCTACGCGTACGGCGTGGCGCGGCTCCCGGTGTCGACGTCGGCTTTGATTATTGCGTGCCAGCTGGCGTTCACGGCGGTGTTCGCGTACCTGCTGGTGAAACAGAAGTTCACGTCGTACTCGATAAACGCGGTCGTTCTAATGACGATTGGAGGGGCAGTTTTGGCATTGCACACGAGTGGGGACCGCCCCGCCGGAGAATCAACGAAAGCGTACGTGGCCGGGTTCTTGATGACGGTGGCGGCGGCGTTGCTTTACGGATTCGTTTTGCCGCTGGTGGAATTAACGTACAAAAAGGCGAAGCAGCAAATTACGTATACTTTGGTCCTGGAAATTCAGCTGGTTATGTCCTTATTCGCCACTCTCGTCTGCACCGTTGGGATGTTAATCAACAACGATTTTCAGGTCCTTTTTTTTTTTCGTTTCCTTTTTTCCCCTCATATTCATTCGTAAATTAGATCCGTGGGGGCTTTATTATTGAATCGAACAGGTAATTCCTCGGGAGGCAAGAGAATTCGGACTTGGGGAGACCAAATACTACGTCGTACTGGCGTTCAGCGCCATAATCTGGCAAGGTTTCTTCTTGGGGGCGATTGGGGTTATTTTCTGCTCGTCGTCTCTGTTTTCAGGGATAGTAATCGCGGTGTTACTGCCGGTGACGGAAATTCTGGCGGTTGTGATTTTTAGTGAGAAGTTTCAGGCGGAAAAGGGAGTGTCTTTGGCTCTGAATCTGTGGGGTTTTGTGTCTTATTTTTACGGTGAAATTAAGCACGACAAAAAGAGGAAGCTGGAGCTTCAAAACGCAGAATCAGCATGTCAAATTACAAGTGTCTGAAGTTTCWGTTTTTGTTCATTTTTATGTTTTTAATTAATTAATCATGAGACTTTGTTAGGGGAAAAGTAATTAATTATGGTGTCAGCGTTGGGTGTGGATGTTTACAACGCTTCTTTATTTTTTGTTTTTGTATGTTTGTGAGGAATAGTGGGTGTATAAAGTTAATTCATCCAATCCTTTCAGTTATTAGGAAAGTTTAGASAGGGAATATTTAAGTATGACCCGAGGTTTTCTTTTACCAAACCTTACTGTGTAACCCCACCAAAATTTCCTCAATTTAAATCTCTGCTCATTACATATTGTATTAAAAAATAGCAGGTGTATACAAAATCAAGTTTTTTGTTTTTTTCTTCCRATTCTTTTGAACATAGATGAAAATATTGTTTTATCATTTTTCTACTTAAAAATGTATAATACATAAAATTTTGTAATATTTAATTTTCTTATAATTTTTTTATTTAATTTAGCATTTTAGAAAGTAAAAGATAAGAAATGATTATTAAATTTTTTCAATAATAAAAAAAGAAATAGTTACGATGAACAAGAAACCATAAATAAAAACAGTTATCAAATCAACACAAAGTAGTTAAATCTAAAATAATTTTAATTAATTTATTAACAAATATATCTTATAAATTTTGTAGAATTATTGTTTTACAAAGTTTCAAATTAAGATCTTGAAAACAATAAACACATAAAAAAAAATATTGTTTTCAAAATTTTGATTACAGAAATTTTAAAACTATTTTGGAAACAAATATGCTAAACATGTATTGAATATTCAATGAATCTAAAAGGAATTAGAAACATAATTTAATTGCTTACCAAATCTATCATAATTTTTTTTTTTTAACTTTTTGGATATCTAAGGTTATTGCCAATCTAAACATGTTTTAGTGACTTGACTAAGACATCAATGCCTTTCTTTAAATGCACTTGAAAAACAAATCTTTCTTTAAAAATCAAAAGCTCAACTCAACCACCTCACACATTATTTGTTGAACTACAGTAAATGATAATTTTGTTCGGTAATATATTGAAAGTTTGATATTTATAATGGCATTTCACTATTAATATGAATGGGAGGAATGTAAATCAATAGTTCACTTGATCTTAGTTTTTTTAGTACAACATATTGGGAGGGGATTCGAACTCATAATCTCTTTGATTGGGAGTATATGCAAATTAGTTAAAAAAGGTGAATTTGAAAACCACTGCGAGAAAAAATAATTAAGATGTTGAGGATTTTTCCTTTCTCTCGAGAAAATTACATTGGATGGCAAACCATATTATACTTTTATTAGAAAAAAATGTCACTAAACTTAACTTCTTTTTTTCATCTTAATTAAAATAAAATGATGCTATTTGTTAAAATTTTTAATTTATTTCTATATTTAGAATTACATATTTTTATTTTATCATTTATATAATTGCCTATATTTTATTTGTTAAATAGTAACTTTTCCATGTTCAATGATCCGATATAATGACTCTCTTTTGTAAAATATTAAAAAGTTTAAATTTATCATGGAATTGACTACAATTAATACGAATCGTAGAAATGTAAACTAATATTTGCAAGAGATCAGGAGCAAAATTTTGGAGGGAAAAAAAAAGAATAGGCGAAGATTTTAAGGATTTATATCATGGAAATTTTGTTATGATCTTTTAAATGAAGGGGTGATTGCCACATAATATTGTATTTATTTAACAAATTCATTTTTTAAATAGCAATTCATATCAATTGTCATGATTAGAGGAAAGTTAAGAGACACCGTGACATAGATAAAATTACATTTAGCCTTTATATAACGTTACATTTAGCCTTTATAAAATAAAGATGAAGATATAATTAATTTGTAGTTTTCAAGATATTAATTTATATGAATATAATCTGAGGAATCTACAATTTTGTGAGTTAACCCTGACTCGAAAGGAACATAAACATTCTGACAAATTTTAGCTGTCTGCAAATAAAATTTTATCAAAAGAAAAAAAAAATCAAACAATTCTTTAACATTAGTTGGCTGGTCAATTTCTTCTCCAATATGTAAACTTTTATATTTATTAAGTGTTGTATATACGAGAAATATCAACCATAGTTGGACAAAATATACTTGATTTAAGGAAAAAGAGACGATTTATTTGATCTCACACTATCATCTAGATAAAATTTTACTTTTTAAAATTTTTGTCTTTATCAATCCATTAGTGGTCTCTCAAGATTGTTTTTTATCATCCTACAGTAGTGCTGGATCGAAAGATCTTATAACAAAAAAAAAAAAAAAATCTATTAGTGGCAAAGTTAAATTTATTTAATTTAAAATTTTACTCATGGTAGAAAAGTACAACCATATTTATATCGAATTAGAAGGCGACTATTCAATATAAAATTAACAAACTTTTTTCCTTTTTTAATAAAGAAATTAATCATAATGCAAGATACTCATTATTACTCATTATAGAGATTAAGACTTTATTTATCTCAAATGAGATGAAGAACACATTCAATCTTTCTTTTTTTCTCTTTAAATCGAGAAATCATATACAAATAGGTATCAGCTTTTTTTTCTTTTCAAATACATTTATAAAGAAAATTTTACGATTAGAATTTTTTTAACTATAATTCAACTAGTTAAAATATTAATAATTAGTAATTTTATTAAGGTGAAGATTTGAATCCACTAATTATATTTGTAATGATATATATTCTAAAAAAAAGTCATAATTCAAATTTCTTTTACCATCCACTGCCAACTTAGTCTAGGTTGCTTTGCTGTGAAAATTGTCTATGGTTGAAACTTACCAATACTTTAATAATTAGTCATTATACTAACTTGAACTTAGTGATTACGAGATTATTATCCACCAAAAGATCATGTTCGTCCCTACTTATTATACTAAAATATATATATATATATATATTAGCCACTATTAAATTTCAGGAGTAGAATTGTGCAGAGAAGACTCTATGGCTTTATCCCCTAGAGCATGGTCTCTAAAAAACAAATAGATAAATAAAATCAAAAGACCAAACAAAAAAATTTCTGATTTATAAATAATGTTCCTAATTGTAAATGTCACGAGATGTGTTGGAAGATTGTTTTGTACTGAAGAAACAATCTTCCGCTGCCAACAGTCCGTTCTCATCATTTTTTTTGTTGGTAAAATAGTGAAAAGATTGCAAATAAATACCTTAATCATTTACTATGTAATTAAATTAATACATTAAAGTTTTGAATCTTACCTTTTATATTAAAGAAAACACTGAATTATAATATCCTTGTTACATTCATAATTATTTCAATATTCTTCAAACTTTTAGAATGAAAATTTTAGTATAACTTTTCAAGAAGGGTTGTAATTCTCCATTTTTCAGCAAACTAATACCTATCAATGATCCTACATGGAAAAGATAAAGAGCAAGTGGGCTACTACTCCTGTGTTAGAGTCCAAAAGTTCAGAGGAACATTCAGTCAAAAAATGGTGTTTGACCAAGATTGGTGAAAGTAATTATTTTTAGAAAAATTCATAAACTAAAATACATGTCTTGAAAATTCATTGAAAAAAAATTTAATAAGTTCACGGAAAAAAAATAGAATTTAAACCTAATTATTATTATACATGGCAACTATGTGAAGTGTTTATCAATATCCTCTTTTCAGCTCATTCTAGTTATAATCACTAACACCCACTTAAAAGTATTGGTAAAAGAAAAAAGTCTATTGATAATTGATGGGAGGAGTTAGAATATAAAAATTTTCAGTAATAATCTCTTTATTAACATATTTTGTTATTATAAACCTAAAAGATTGTAAATTCTAAATGATTAGGGATATAAATATAGTCTCATTCAACATAATCCACCAAATAATGAAGATTTAATTCCAAACCACAATTTCTTAATTGAGCTATCCGACATGGTCTTGGGAGGACCCTAGCTCGTAAAATGAAAGAAGATAAAGAAATAATTAACTTCACAATTAAACGCAATCATTGATGTAGACTTGTAATGAATATTAGTTATTTCTCATTTTCAGTTTAGTTACCATCATTTTTAGAAACACTTCTATGTATTATTCTAATTTTCACATCTTCCTCATATCTACTATTGTGAAATTAAATTATTTTAATTGTTGAATCCTTGAATCCTAGCTAGATCAAAATGTTTGTTATTTCCCCTATTTACTACAACCTTATGAATTTTCATGCTAATTAACTCGTCTTCTTGACCCGTCAAAGAAAGAAAAATATATCTAATGAAATTAGATGAATATAGCGACAAATCTCTAATCAATAAAAATAGACATTAAAACTTAGAAGGAGAACGTTACATGTTAGGTTCTCCATTTGACATCTTTAGGAGAAAAGATTCTTTTAATATGGTACTATAAAGTGGAATGTTTGAAAATGTTGGAAAAGAAAAATAATATTAAAGATTAAAGATTAAAATGTTTGCCTAACAATTTTTTACAACAGATCAGTAAAACTCTATCATCATACAGTGTTATCACTGACAAATATATATATATTAACATTGAAATGTTACCACTTTTATTTTATTTTACCCATGTACCACGACTCACTATTTTTCCAAAAGTATATATTTTACATTTTTTTCTTTCTAAGAACTAAATATTCAATGATTGATCCTTATCGAAATCAAGTATTTTTCATTTTTTAGCTAATATTTTTTTATACATTGATCCATGGAAAATACTTCTCTCCTCAAGATGAGAAATTTGTGCTCCCCATCATTATTTGATAAGTATGAGAGAAATATAAAAAACAAAATACTTGAGAAAGTTTTAGTTTCTACACGATGATAAAGACGCCGGAGGCCCCACTTTGTTAGTTGGCTGATAAATATCCGGTCCAGTTCCCAGTTTCTCCCACTCCACAATCTCCAATCCCTTCTCAGTTCTCACAGATGCATCCCCAATCATCCATCCACAAGGATGAAGAAGAAACACACCGCCGACGGAAAGCCACCGTTAAAAAGCTTCTCCTCGCATTCAACTCCGTCCTATTATCCATCGGCACTTGCGGCAGCCCTCTGATCATGCGTCTCTACTTCATCCACGGCGGCAACCGCGTGTGGCTCACCAGCTGCCTCTTAACCGCCGCCTGGCCCGTCATTTTATTCCCCTTAGCCATCAGTTACTTCCGTCGCCGCCGCAGCCGCGCCTCGGCCAAGTTCATTTTCATGAAGCCGCGTTTGTTTCTCGCCGCCGCCGTCATCGGCCTCCTCACCGGCTTGGACGACTACCTCTACGCATACGGCGTGGCGCGGCTCCCGGTTTCTACTTCTTCTCTCATTATTGCGTGCCAGCTGTCCTTCACCGCTGTTTTCGCATTTCTTCTGGTGAAACAGAAGTTCACTTCCTACTCTGTAAACGCCGTCGTTTTACTGACGATCGGAGGGGCGGTTTTGGCATTGCACACGAACGGTGACCGGCCGCCCGGAGAATCGAATAAAGAGTACATCACCGGATTCTTGATGACGGTGGCGGCGGCGGTGCTCTACGGATTGGTGTTGCCGCTGATCGAAATGGCGTACAAGAAGGCAAAACAGAGGATTACATACACACTGGTACTGGAGATTCAATTGGTGATATCCTTATTCGCCACTGTACTCTGCACCATTGGAATGTTAATCAACAACGATTTTCAGGTCAAATCAGATCTCCCTCTCCGTGTTTATGAAATTCCCGAACAGGAATCTGAGGAATCTAATCTATTTTGATAATTGCTGCAGGTAATTCCAAGGGAGGGTCGTGTATTTGGACTCGGGGAGGCCAAATACTACGTCGTATTAGTCGCCACCGCCGTAATCTCGCAGGCTTTCTTCTTGGGAGCCGTCGGAGTTATCTACTACTCTTCGTCTTTGTTTTCAGGTATAGTAATTGCAGCGTTGTTGCCGGCGACGGAAATTCTTGCCGTCATCTTTTTCCGGGAAAAGTTTCAGGCGGAGAAGGGAGTCTCTCTGGCTCTAAACCTATGGGGTTTTGTGTCTTATTTTTACGGCGAATTTAAGCACAGCAAAAAGAAGGAGCTAAAATTACCAAAAACTGAAGAAACTATTCGAATTTCTACTCTCTGAATTTATGAAATCAATCCTCCGCTGTTTCCGTAGGTAGGAGATAGAAACGCAGAATGAGGGATGGATTTTTTTTTTTTTTTTTGGAACAATTAGGTATTGATGGGTCGATACCTTACGTACACTTGCCAATCATGTTAGATATTGTTATTAAGCTTTTGTGAAATTTGAATCACAAATATATGATAATAGATATATAATTAATTAATTTTGTTTTGATCAATTTAAATTTCAGCTCGTGCAGCTATTGTTTCTACAAGTACAATTGTTTTGTTTTTGGATTTTTTTTCTTTTAAAAAGTTTTTTGTTTTTTTTTTGAAATATTATTGTATGTACGACCAATCATATCATAAATTTCATCCAAAAGACCAAAAGTCTACGTTTCTTTTTCTATCGGTTACATCAATTAATTTATACATTTGATTATTAATTAAAACAGTAATCGAAATGAAAGCTAGTATAACTTAATGGTAACCAAGAGTTTGTGAGTTTGGTTCTCCACCTCCTGTTGTACTCGGGAAAAAAAAACTGAATTGAGTATTTTTTTCTTCTTCATATTTATAATTTGATTTTTAAAGTATTTTAAAATACTTTTTTTAATATGTTTTTAAAAATTTTCAAACTACTTTTTATAATAGAAAAATTTAAAAAAAATACCTCTAATTAATTGAAAGCTCGTCAAAATTTTAACCAAATTAATGTAAGCATTTCTAAAATCCTAAACACAAAGTAAAGAAAGAAATTGGTGTTGGCCTGCGGGGACCAAAGGACCACAAGGTTGATGAGGACTTTGATTGAAGACAGGATCCAAAGTATTTTTTGTTTGAATCAAATTTGTCTCCTCATCAATAATTTAGAATGGTTTGCTTCGGTTCATTTACTTATATTGTTTTTTTTCCCTCTCCTTTTAGAGTTCAATAAATGTGAGATGAAGAATGATATATTCAAATTATAGAAAAGGTAATAGTTATCTTAGAGTATGACCTTTTCGACCCTGATCAATTATCAATGTATTCAATTGTGGTATCGTTTTTTTTATTATTCTAAAGTTAATTATCAATGTAGTCAATTGTGATATACTTTTTCTATTATTCTAAAGTATTTATGCTAATGTGCTCAATGAGTAACGTGTTGCTTAAAAAAAAGAAAACTAGTAATCTCTAGTAAGTCAAAAGTTCAAAACACATAAAAGTGATGAGCTTCGACCTCCACCCAATCCAAAATATCCAAATCGATAATTTCATGATAATATCTGCATCAGTGAATATGATGCTTTTCTCTCTCGAGTCTTTTTGTAACTTTGTTTATTTTTTCATTAATACCAATTAAAATAGTGTTTTCTTCAAGCATTCTTGGATGTGAACCGGATTGTACATTTATAAATGAAAAGTCTTATTTCTTATCCAAAGAAAAAAGGAATCTCCAATTATATGGATAGCATTAATTGAATAGCATAATCCAAATCTTTATCCATTGTATTTTTGTTCTGAATAGGCAAAACCCTTCCACAGATGAAGACATAAAATTCATTACCACCGAATGATCAGTATAAAATAAAATCTCCCAATTAAAGTCACTAATTTCAAAGGATTTTTATTTGTGGGGCTATTGTAAAAATTCATAGCAAAAGGCTGAGCCGATGAGAAGATCATAATTAGGTGTACCATGCTGAAAGTGTTTCGAGTAGTTACCAGTAATGATGGATCAAACCTACGAAAAACCTTGAGGTGCAAAGATTATCAATGGGAAATCAAATTCAATCAGGGTAGAATCAGAATTCATACCCTAGAGTTTATTCTCATGAATTTCATGAACATTTGGTTCCACTCACAAGACTTCATGTTAGTGTAGATAATTAATTGTCTTCATCTACGTACCAATTGATCATTCTCTTGTCAAGTCAATGAGGGACCATTCCTCTCACAAACTCAACACAGTGGAAGTGATGAATTAGGTAATTAGCTGTAACTCTTTGTACACTTACGAAACCGAACCACGGAGGTATAGTATGCATAATGAAGAAATGGAATCAGCTAGCCTGTGGTTTGAGAACTGCACGGAATTTATGGGATCTACATCATAGCCCAATAGTTGGAGAGGGAAGACAACTATGACTAGTCGCCGACGGCAGAGCCAAAGAGAGTATCGTAGGCGACATTTTCCGGCTCCGGAACGCCTAAACTATTTAGTTAAAGTTAATGCACAGCGGCAACGAGACAGCGAAAGAGTGGCGGAAGGAAGTGGGAGATATCACGTACGGTTGCATGCATTTTATAGGAGATCAGAAACAGAAAGTTGTTTTGAGATATCTGAAAACAAATAAGCCTTGGTTGGCTGTTAAATTTCTAGCTCTTCTCTTCTCTCTCTCAGTCCACACAATTGCATCCATCCATCCTCGCCCAATTCAAAGAGATCCATTGCAAATCCGAAGAAGAAAGTAAGTGTCCAGTGAAAGCCACCATAAAAAACATCCTCTTTAGCGCCGCCTTGCCTATCATTTTCCTCCCCTTAGCCATCCTCCGCCACTTGACGCGTCTTCCTATTTCTACTTCTTCTCTTATTATTAGCTACTGGCGACACTTTTTTTAAACGGCTGAGGGGAGGAAAATGATAGGCCAGGCGAGGCGGCAGAGGGAGCTGGTGAGCCACGCAGGGCTGCCGCATGTACGATGGATACTAAAACAGAGTTGAAGGCAAGGAGGATTCTTCGAATTGGAAATGAATCTCTTCAAGTGTGGGGACGGGGAGAAGAGCCTTTTAATTTAAAGGCCAAACAAGAAAATGGGAGCTGCGTTTGGTACAAAACTCAAAACAAGTTATAAGAAAGGTTGAAAGCACGGATTTCATTTCTAGGTAGATTAGAAACACAGACGTCATGAATTTCTGTTTCTAGGTAGATTGAAAACACAGATTGTATGGAGGAGTGGCTGCGAATACAATTCAAAATTATGAGAAACTGTTTTCAGATATTCTCAAAACAACTTTCTGTTTTGAGAAATATAGCAGAATTTCATGAAATGTTGCAATTTTACTTTCAGTTTAGAGTACAATAGTTGGTGCAATTTCACTTTGTTTAATTTGGACATTGAATGTGAGCTAGTAGACAATAATTGATTTAGTTTGGCCCAAAGTCTTCACTGGAATCCAATTTGCCATTATTTTGTGGTATAATTAAACACAATAATCAAAGAGAAATAGGCGTAGAGGGAGAGGGGAAGATGATTCTGCGAGTGAAAATTTTGTAGGAAGAAGAGGAATCTGCTTCTCACGGGGAAGATCAAATT